TAATACCAGTCCCACTCACCCTGATGAAGGGCCCCCGATGGGCCCGAAACTAGTCGGTGCCGCCAGCGGACGAATATACGTGAGTGTTTAGCCGTTTTTAGAAGTAATTTCCTTTATAAAGGTGGTTAATAATAAAAATATTCAGAATTAAATGAACTCAATAAATTGAAAAGAAAAAATTCACGAAAAAAGGAATTATAATTAACTTGTATTAAAAGATTTTAGTACAAGATAACGCAGATTTTAACTAGCTAGTTAACAAATATGTCCGGTTCTTATACATAAATATATTTAATTATTATAAAAGTAAGGTAGAATATAGCTAAATTAATGAATGTATTCAGGACAAAGCATTTATGTATTCAAGTAATTCACGCTTATTTTCCACTGCAACGCAGGCCTATTGTTAGAAAGTAATGTAAAACACGTTCATTTATTTAAATAAAACACGTGACTTCTTAATTTTCTTTTTATATGAGATTAATAGAACGTGGATAAGTGAGAAATCTCTATAAGAGAGAGTCCGGTACCGACATGACCTCCATAAGCGACATCAATTAACCGGTCCCAAGGTTTCTTGTTTATCCAGGTTCGACTGTATATAGTAACACAAATATAATTTAGTGAAAAACAAAATTAATGATATTTTAAAAAATAATGACCACGTTTAAATTTTAGTTAGTAATTTTAAGGAAAAAAAGAAATTAAATAAAACATTAATAAGCCTGTGATTCAGTTCATATAATAGTACAAATAAAGTTATTTTGTAAAAGGCTCTATAAAAATATACCGTGACAAATTTACTACCAATTTTGCAAGTACGTGTAAAGTGAATGCGAGTTTGCGAGCAGTTAATTGCAAAAGCCGCACGAACCACGTCGCCGTTTAAATGCAATATACCGTACGATCGCTTATAGGGATTCGTTATGAAATTATTATGATTTTATAAAAGAAAAATAACTACGCCTTTCGTAAAATATCATATTGAAGATAAATGTGGAAATTGTAGTATTACTAAGATGAAGCCAAATGTTTTAGTGCAACTGTGACTTATATATTCATCTCTCACGTTCTCTTTGAAAAAAAAAACAACAATAAGTATTATAATAATATATTTTGAATGGACGCGGACAGAGGCGACAGCTAGTTTTATTAAAAAACTAGCTGTCGCCCGTAACTCCGTTCAAGCGGCATTAAAAAAAAACTAATAAGTAGCCTATGTGTTCTTCCAGAATATGTACATTAACTTTATTACAAATTATTATTACATTGTACTACATCTATACCAAATTTCAGCAAGATTCGTTCCGCCGTTCTTTAGATACCTTCAAACAGACATTCATCCATCCATCTAAACATACGCATTTATAATATTAGTAAGATCTATATCTTTGCTGTCATTGTAAACTTTTCTTTATTGATAGTAGGTAAACCGTAACCAAATGGATACGTCTCACTTGCAGACACCGATTTACATTTCAAAAGAAATTCTACTCGCTTACGAGAAAACATTTCCATTCCATTTCTCTCGTGAAGACAAACAATACGTATATTTCGAGTTTCCTCTCTAAGAAATAACACAATAGTATTTTATACTTGCCAAGTTATTTGTATAATGTATGCATCGTTACCTCAGTCAGCCATTCAGCAGTATTTTCGAACGAATATTTACATATCTTATTTTCAAGGACATATAACGAAATTCCACTAAACTAAATAACTAAGAATAACAACCATAAAACATTTTAAAAACGCTTAACTTGGAAATGTTAATTGATTACACTAGTGCGTATAGCCATAAAACAAGTAAAACATCCAATCCTCCGTTGATTAAAAAGACAACGCATTTGCAATTGCGCATGTTTATGGGCAGTCACTTCGCTATTGCAGCGATTTCAGGTGGCTGCTCGCTCGTTTACGACTTTATTATTTACGTATTAAAAATGCCATTTTTTAATTTCTTTTTAATTTACATATCTACTTCATTTCGTCACTTGAATTCGGTCTCTATAAGTCTATATTAATCTTGATATAATTTTAATTTAATACAAAATTTATAATTGGAATATCAAGTAATATATTCGCCATATTATACCGGAACTTGGCGGGATGTGGCATTTGATACATTATATACGCAACTAATGATACTTAGCCTCATATATTTTCCTACTTCCCCATCGTATTGCCAAATAATATCTTTAACGAGAATTAGTTTATTATGACAAGGTCATTACAGAAAGTTCGCAGTAATAAGGCCAACTATCCTCAAAATATAATCATTAAGGTAACTACACAGAAGACAGGCGTGAAGTGGAAGCAATTCCGCGTTTCGTCTGATGAGTGTGCGTCCCGGAGGCCTAATTTAGTCCTCTTTCCCTACCTACCCTTTTTCTTATAATGAAAGGATGGGAAGTGGAAGTGGACTTTCCGGATGAGAGGATGCATGGAAATATTTACTTTCTGTGCATCCTCTCCTCCGTCGATTAAAGGTAGGCAATCGCATATATTGCGTATGTCTATGGGCAACGGTCGCTTCGCTATTTCAGCGATTTCAGGTGGCCGCTCGCTCGTTTGCTACCTTATAATATAAAAAAAACTTTATCTTTATAAACACATGCGAGTGAAATGTACCACGATTTTGAAAGACGCCCGTTATCTCTTATTACCCCATTCAGAATTTCAGTCACGTGCATAGATATGTTACGTTGTAAATTGTATACGGGCATAGGCGTAACATTATATTTGTACATAACACTAGTAAACTGTTGTAACGAGAATTTAAGCAAATGCTTTTTACATAAAATATTATTATTTTCATGAAGATTTCTTCCAAATTACATAAAAATATACTTATAAGGGCCACGCTTTTAACCAGACTATGGTCTTTCATTTGTTTAATAAAGCTCCCTCACCTATCTCTTAGAAAAAAAAAAAAATTTCAACAACAGAGCTGGTACGGCTTATGATGCGACGGAAAAAGCTAAAGCAAGCAAATACAGGGTTCTAGGCTAGGAATATGAATTTGTCCTATTGGGTGTCGAGACTCTTGGTCTGTGGGGTCCTTGCGCTATTAGGCTTTTTAAATAAATATCAAAAGCGTTAGTCGACATCACAGGGGACCGAAGAGCTGGCAGCAAACTCAGACAAAGAATTAGTATAGCTATTCAAAGGGAAAATGCTGTCAGTATCTTCAGAACCTTGCCTAAATGGACTCCTTTTAATAATATAGTTTAGTTAATTAATCATTCAATTTTTTAAATGACTTCTTTAGATACTTGTTGTAGTTCATTATTATAAAAATATTTTTAAATGAAGCCACTGTTGTGCTTGAAGTTATGTAAAACTGTGCCACTGGCATATTATACTAAGATTTAGAACAAAAGTATAGTGTACGCTTAAAAGGATCATAGATTTATTAAATTTGCATGCTGCATTATTCTTTCAAAGGAAACCTTCGTATGCTTTAACATGAACGAGTCGATTAAAAAAAATACTATAAAAAATCTTTGTATATCTGCGAAAATCTTAAACTAGCACTTAAAGGTTTAAGTTGCCCCTAATTACCGTTGCAGCTTAAAGCTTCTGATAAAGTTAAATTTAAGTGGATTCGAGATACTATATATTTAAAAATATTTTAATAGAATTTAACTTTTTAACTTTCAAGTTAAACTTGGTCGTGCTATTTAAGAGATACCGGTTAAGAGAATTAACAAAATAACACAATTAACGTCAACTTATTGACCTGGTTATTATTTTTTTAATACAAGAAAGAAAACAAGCGGTCCATTTGATTTGTGGCAGCAAAGACAGACTAATTGCACATGAAATTAAGGCGTGTTCCAATTTTTTACATGCGAGATTAAGCAACATTAAGTACAGTGGATGATTACTTCTACATAATAGCTGCAAATGATCGCAATCATCCTTTGTAGTGAAACTAAGCCAGATATCTCTTTTATCTATTTATGCAAGTTGTATAAAAAATCATTGGTTTATTACTTTACGTGTGCTATCCTGCTATAAATTCGTTTGCGGAAAACTAAATTGTCCAAAAAGCTTTGTTGAGAGTGGGATGTTGACATAAGCTAAGCTTAGAATGAAGTGCGATCTGATTGGAGCGGTGAAATGTTTTAAAAATGTTCTTATTCAAATGTTTGATTTAGACAAAGTCTTCTAATCTACAAAAACATTTTATTTATAAGATACCAATTAAATATATTTTATTTAAAGACGTTTTCTTTATATTATATTACATTTTCCATTCAAACGTTTATTTTTATTATAAGGTCCTCTCATCGTTTTACAATTTACGTAAATCGTAGCTCGTAGCCTCTCGTAGCATTCCGTAGCTTATCGTAGCAAACATAGTTTTATGATATTAAATAAGGATAATACCATTTTAAAAGTTTGAAATTTTATTATTTACGTTTTTCTATGAGTTGTTAAGAAAAAAACTTAAGTTGGTTGCTAACGAGATAAAGATAATAACTATTTGAAAGAACATTTCAGGAAAATTAAATTTATATTTAAAAAAAATATAAATAATTTTTACCGAAAAGAAGAATTAATATACGAAATCCAGTCCTTTATAACACGTCGTAATAACAATACTATATTGGTAACCAAACTATACTATTAATAAATAGACATCGGAGAAGTGTTCAACTCTGAATTGTTTTAAACTTGGTTAAGTTATGGTCATTGAGTACTTTCATACATCCATACGAAACCTCAACCCTCATTAAGCGGGGAAAATATTAATATTTTACGTTAAATAATTTTCCAACACCGACATTAATCACTTCAAACGCTCCTGAACTAGGTTAGAGTATCCTTGTTAAATTATAGATCGGCTGCCTCACCGCTTAACTACATTACGAGTTAATTAAGCATACTTTAGTTCTGGAAGCTTTTTACTACGTTTTGCGGCGAATATTTTAATCATTATATTACGGTCAGGGTTGTCACAAATTGAGACGTCCTTTTATGAATTCCAGCTGCGAAAGCCGGTGTCGACGGTGTCGATCCCCGGCGCAATGAAGGCGTACTCCGGGGGCAGAGACGCGGGGACTGAGGAGGCGGGGGTCGCGCTAGTCGGGGTCCACAGCGAGTACCCACGTTTCGGTGAGGAGCGAGCTCTTGGCGGCGGCACCTACAAAGGCGGGGGGACAGCTAAACACAAGCCAAACATAGGATATAGGTCAGTAGCTTTATCTCTTAATTTAATTTTAATTGAATATATCCATTGATGTGACCCGTTTGGGTCTTCTAATTTACGTAAATTGAATTTAAGTCTATGAATGTATTTGCAATAAATTTGTAGAATACGATCCTTATTAAGATTAGGGTAACGTTAAATTATGGATAACAATGATCCCTTGATTTTCTGAAGCTAATAAAGTGAAATACACTTAAATGGAACTAAAAGTAAATCCACCTTATTGATGTTATGAGTATAATTTGCTACATTGCATTACTTGTATTGCTGCCAAGGAGAATGGGTTCATTAACCTTTTCTCACGAGTATTCTTTTTAGTTACTGGTTAGTGACTTTCAGACGCTAATACTTTCGAAAGCACTTTATCATAGCACATGAATTATTTGTATTTTTTATTGTTTATTATTTTATACAACGACCTGACATATGAAATATTTAGAGCTCGTGAACTTCATTATCCATCATTTTGGATGTATCTACGGTTATTATCATCAAATGTTGTCTCAGCTTTTTATTTTATTTTTTAAACAAATGACGGTATTTTTAGCTTTTCTCTGTTTGCCGCAGAAGCATTAACGTCGTTGTTATTTTACCCTTTTGACCAGATAAATCCGCTTTTAACCAGCTTTACGGAGTGTAACGCCCGACTTTATACGGGACTTAAACTGGATTGCACTTTGAGAAAATGTATTAAGATATTTCACGTTAAAACGTAAATTTTCTTCTTCGAATGTTAGAAGTTAAATTATAAAAAGTATAACTGAATCAATAATACATAATACTGCATACTAATATTATAAATGAGAATGTTTGGATGGATGTTTGTTTGAAGATATCTCCAGAACGGCTGAGCGGATCTTGATGAAATTTGGTATACATATAGAACATATTTTGGAAGAACACATAGACCACCAATTATGTATTTTTTTAATTCCGCGCGGACGGTGTCGCAGGCGACAGCTAGTCATTACATAAAAGTAACTAAACAAATAAATCAATCGTCAAAAGTAAACAACGACGGGGTTAAATCAAAGGACAAAAGATGAAATCAATTGATAACTCAGTTATCGAGGCTAAGCCAAACATTTACTGAAAATGTCGAATGAATAGTATTTGCTAAACGTCGGTACAATTTCAACCTTGACCAAACGGATATAGCTTTTATCGGACCGCATCGATCTTGAAAGTTAAATGTACAAGCGTTTTGTCGCTTATTGCTTTCTGTGTTGAAAATACTTCTACTTAAATGTCGAATATAAAGATAAATTATGTTTTTAAGCAAATATTTTAAATGTTGTGTTTTTTTTTTCTTTTTTAAAATCATACAGTTCAGTCTTGAGAAAGTCTATGAAAATTAGTTTTAACAATCTTTAAATAGATGGCGTTGATCTCAATTTGATTATCGTCTAAAATTGTTTTACATTTTTATATTATTAATTATCTAAAACTTTGATAATTATAAGAAAGTAATTTTAGAAATTGTCACTTTCGTACATTCTATAAAAAATTGATATCAGTAAACAATTTCGAATGATGTGAAATCGGTACGTAATTATGTACACTTATCGTGTACTCTCATCAAATTGTCGATACTAATTCTTAATATTAAAAATCTAAAAGAAAGTGTTTCTTAATACACCTAATTAAATACAATTTGTTATTGATTTCAGGTTAGGTAGACGAAAGGCATTATTTGAAAAACGAAAACGAATAAGTGACTACGCCCTTGTAATGGGAATGTTTGGTATTATAATTATGGTAATAGAGAACGAACTTTCCAGTGCCGGCGTTTATACTAAGGTATGTATAAAATAACCTTAAATTTATGTATACATTTATACATATTAAAAAAATAATAAAATTAGAATGTCTGTGTACCAAGAAAAAAAATCATATGTCGTTCACGTGATGTAAAAAAATATTTGGTAAATTTTTGTCTGACTGTGTGCCTATCAGTCTGTCTGCAAGGCTGTGTTTGTTTCGGGTAATCTCTGTAACAACTAGACCTTTTTTGACAGGACTATAACGGGGAGGTAGCTAATTCTCCGATGAAGAAGTCACAGACGACTACTAGTTATTGTATAAATTTGGAACTAATGTTTCGAACCTTCGTTACAGGCGTCAATTTACTCGCAAGCGTTAAAAACACTAATCTCCATGTCAACTGTGATCTTACTCGGCCTAATTGTTGCTTATCACGCATTAGAAGTACAGGTGAGTGGTTATTATAACAAATATAAGCTTATCGTAGCATTAAGAAAAACAAGCTGGTCGAATTTTTTTTTTTAATACAAGAAAGGACATCTACGAACTTTCGGTCCGTACTCTTTCTTGCACATATTCCTTATGGTTCATGATAATAGTAATTTTTCCAATAAATTAATTTACGTAGGTTAACATTTAAATATAAAAGAATGGTTATCTATGTTATTCAACATAGTAATATGTTATCGATGCATGAGAAGAATATATCGATCGTCGATAAATGATGAAGAGAATAATAGTATGAGTGCAGATTAGTTTCGTGGTTGTCAGTATTTTGTGTATAAATGTTTAATTTTATTAAATAATTTAAAAAATTAAATAATAGCTTAACTGTTATATTTGTAGATCGTCTGTTGATGAAAAAAACGGGTTTTTTCCGAAATCAACAGAACGATCCTATAAAAAATTCATCAGTTTTTTCATAACGCTTGCAGTCCGACTGAGATAGCCGCCCCTTTGAATATTTTATAAAGCCATGCTACTGTGTCGGCATTTAGATTTTTATTCTCTTCGTTAGTAAATTTTAATGTACTTATATTCGTGTTTGTACGAGTTCACTTATTTTTATTGTCTAATAAAGAACAATAAATGTATACAGGGTGTCCCAAAAGGTTACTTACATAGGAAGGGGGATGATAGGGGTGATCACAAGGGTCACCAGAAAAATAAAATAAAAATTCCCCTCTGGGTATTAAAAAAAATAAAAGACATTTTTTAAAAACTTAAAAATTTTATTTTTAAGTTTTTAAATTTTGTAACCAATGACCTACAAATATTGCTACATTTAAAAAAAAAGCTATTATGTTATCGTCAATAACCCTTTATCAATATGAAATAAAAAAAAACAATACAACTAACAAAGATTTTAAAGAAAAATTAAATTGCCCCAGAAGGTGTAAAAAAATTTAATTTTTAAAAAATGCCATTTAATTTTTTTAATACCCAGAGGGAAATTTTTATTTTGTTTTTCTGGTGACCCTTGTGACCTCCCCTATCATCCCTCTTTCTATGTACGTAACCTTTTGGGACACCCTGTATAGTTTTGTTCCCAACGAAATTTGAACAAGGCGAAAAGTCTCTAAAGCTTTTTTGATACAAAAAGCATGTCTATGACAAAATAATATCGAATACCTCTTCAGGTTTCACTTTATTTATAATATTTTATTTCATAGTTGAAACCTACTATTTTTGATTATAGAAGTTGACTGTCATACTCAGAATTGTCTTATGTTTCTTACACAGTTACTTAGTATATATTATGAGAGATACTATAGACACTTAGGTATTCCGTTGATGACTGTTTAATGGCTAAGCAATTAGTATGGTAATGTAATAGTTTTACGTTGGTAACGATAATTTCAAGTACGTACGTAACATAAAAAAGTGTATGCTATTTGAAAATTAATTTGGCTGCCCTAATTTCTAGGTTACCCAACGATTCAGCTATCTTATGTGCATTGAATACGTAATTAGTTTTGAACCAAATAGTTATTGATCTTATATAAATTAAGCTCATTATATTACAGACAGATTAATCTGAAAGGTGACACTATAACGTTAAAAAAGAGATAAGAACAAATTTGACACAATGGTATATGTTCAAAAAAGTACTATATTATGAAATTATCCAAATAAGACTATCATTTTTACACATAAGATAGAGTTTAGGGGACGGCCCAAATTGACTACACGTAGGTCACTTTACAATACAACTATCGACACATACAAATTTTTGTTTTATGTACCCATGCGACACTGTTTCCATGGTGATGTGAGTGTCGTTTGCTTATACAGGTTAACGAATCTTGTATACGCACCTTAAGGACATACGTAAACGGACTTTGAAGACTTGTTTATGATAAGATTGTGTTTTGTTTTCAGTTATTCATGATTGATAACTGCGCTGATGACTGGCGAATAGCTATGACTTGGCAGAGGATAGCACAGATTGCGTTAGAACTCGCGATCTGTGCAGTTCACCCCATTCCTGGCCAATACACCTTCACGTGGACCACCAAACTGGCCAACAAAGGAGGTGTTATAGGGGTTGAAGTTGTAAGTTTTAAATTTTTATTAATTTTATATTGTAGGTTAATTATATTTGAGAAATTATTACACCGTTTACTCATTTATTTATTTATTTGAGTTACTTTAGTGACATCAAATTGCTTTCTATTTTATTAAGTTATCAACTTAACGTTATAGTCGATTTTTAACCAATCTTCAGTTCATGACTAGATAGATCTTTGAAATAGGTAGAAATTTAAAATAAAGGGTGAGAGATATTTTAAAAAAATGTTTATAATTTTGGTATTTATTTTTAAATAATTTTTATTTTTTATAGGAAACAATATATAAGCAAATTCAGGTCTGTATTTAAAAATGTTAAACTTGAGTGACGTCATTTAATGTATCACGCATGGTTTCCATGAAATATGTTTGTTGCTCAATTCACATAACATTATTTGTTAAGACCTTACAATGATATGAAACATTTGTGATCTTTGTCGTTTTAAAAATATACTAGAAGATTGTATTTTATCTTAAAGAGTAGTAAATATTTTTTTATTAATAGCATTTTAAATGTTAATTAATCTCTATGTATGAATGTAAGATCAATAATGTCAAATATACCATCTTCTAGGACATTTGATAAATTTAATTCTTGTCTGATGGAAAAATTGAGTATGCAAACACAATGATGAAAGTAAATGTTCGTAATATTTTAACTGCAAAACAACATTCATATTATTCTAGTGTTATATTTAATTTTTTCACCAGATATATATATATATATTTAGAGCTGCACGTCTGCTGGAAATATGTGAACTCTTGTTAACCCATTGTCAGTTTGTTAGCACTTTGTGACGTTCTAATAGCGATATTATTGAAATAAACGTTAATATAATACCTAACAAATGTAATCCTGATTTTAAGAATGTTAAAACAGAAAAAAAACTATCTAATATTAGCCAATAGCAAAAATAAATGTAATTTTTTATTTAAATATTAGCAGATTTTTTGTAAATTTACTTTATTTTACCATTCCAACTAAGCTCTATGGTTAAAATATACGTATATTAACAAAAACTAACATACATTTGTCTTTTATATTTTCAGGTTCCCTACGACGTAACTCTCTCTTTGCCGATGTTCTTTCGTCTGTACTTAATATGTAGAGTCATGCTTCTTCATAGTAAACTATTCACCGACGCATCTTCACGAAGTATAGGAGCCTTAAATAGAATTAACTTTAATACTAGGTAAGATTTATTTACGTATTTAATTCGTCAGAAAAAACTAAGTAATTTAACTTAACGATAATTAAGTTTGTAATCTATCTCATTTTAAAATTTAATCCAAAGCTGTTCAGTCGTTTTGAAATAACGATAAACATCAATCGTATCGCGATATTTTTTTTGCGAGGTTTCTCCCTAACTTTTTCCCTAAGTTACTCCCTCATGGAAGTTGTCCTTCAGGTTCGCATAATGACTTTCGCTTCTAGAGATTTCTCGATTATCTTGGTTCGACTATTACTAAGAAGTAAAATTAATAATATAAGCGTCTAACTACGTTAAGATAGAAGTTAAAATTAGTGTCATAACAGCACTGTTAGTTTTTTGAACTGCAATCTAATTTGTGTATAACGAGTCGAATATTGCATTTACAGGTTTGTGCTAAAAACGCTCATGACAATTTGTCCTGGTACAGTACTCTTAGTGTTCATGGTGTCACTATGGATAATAGCAAGTTGGACGTTGCGACAATGCGAAAGGTTGGTATCACTGCTTACTATAACTAAAGATCTATTAAATTATGACAAAGATCTATCTCACAGTACCACCAGTAATACCAATACTTGAAAGCAAATATATAATAGGAAAGAATAACTTGAATAAAATATATGTAATATTGTTGTTTTATTATTTTTGCTATTATTTTTAAAGCTACTTACAAGTACGTTGTAAAATATATTCTTAGCTAAGCTTTGGTTATTTGTTTAATTATATCGTTAATATATGTATTTGTATGTAAAATTTTCTCTTACCGCCTCCACAGATGCAACCGCTTCAGTACTGTGTTGTCTTGTTTTTTTTTTTTTTAATTTCATTTTATGTAGTAGATGTTACTGGTACAAAATAAATTCAAATTATTCTTTGTTCACGACCATTTATTACAATGAATTTAAGAGTTTGACTTTGACTAACACATTTTGAACATTTTCGAACTGTTATATGTACTTTAAGAATATATTTTTTAAATTATTTCAAAGATTAATAAAAAAAATAAGATGCACTTATTAATATGGAGTAGTAATTGCTAAATTAAATTATGAATAAGATATATGAAGATTATCAATGATCATGGATTAACAACTGGCTTTGTCAAAGAGTAGATACGCACAGAATGGCTCAAGGTTATAAAACGGTACCAGATTTCACCGTTTTGTACTTTTCACTCACCGCACTTCGTCACATCACACATAATTCCATTTGTACCCTGTTTACTGGGCTTTCTGTTGTACTTATCGTATATTCTTCTTGCAGCCTCTCTATCACTTTAATGTTAATTGTCTGTGTTTATTAGTCTGTGTTTACCCAGTAAGAAAGTGTTCGCGCATGGCCAAAGTATATTTGATTCAATGTTTAGATTGCACGTTGTTTAAATTGTTTTTCAAAATCTAGCGTTTATGTGTTGTAAGAAATTTGACATCAGTTAAATCAATAAGCTGTTCTGAATAGAAATTGCTTTATCAATTACATTTGTTTATTTCTCTTATCAATTTATATGAAATAAATATATCCCTTTAATATTGTAAAATTATTTTGTTGTGATAACAATTGCAAAATAATTTAACTTTTATATCGATGTCGGTTATTTTGTGGTTCTTGTCGGGCATTTTGGCTCTCAGGTTCCACGATGAAGACCATGCAAATTTGCTAAATTCAATGTGGCTGACTGCTATTACCTTCCTTTGTGTCGGCTACGGTGACATTGTCCCCAACACTTACTGCGGCCGGGGCATTACTCTCACCTGCGGCATGGTGGTATGTATACTAGAAGGCTATTGTGGACGTTCATTTCTTTCTTCTACGTGGTATACGTTGATAAGTATGTCTGTTATTTTTGTCGTGGCAAATATACAATTTTGAATGTTGTGTCTATCATTTCTTTAAATATAGGTTGGTAAAGGTGAGCCATTTTATGCATTTCATTCATCAATGATACTTTTAGGATCAAAGTCAAACTCTTTAATATCTCTATTAAACGTTTTTATTTTTTCTTTACCTATTTCATTTTTGTTGATGACCAGTTACTGAGCGGGCATTTGAGGTTTTAATATTCACTCATTTGACTATCGTTAACGGGTTCAAATAGTCAAGAGGTACAATTTATTAACGATTCAGGTTTCACGACGAAGAACACGCTAATCTACTCAATGCGATGTGGCTAATAGCCATAACATTTCTCTCCGTTGGTTTTGGAGACATTGTGCCAAATACATACTGCGGCAGGGGTATTGCCGTAAGCACCGGTATTATGGTAAGTTTGTGTTGAAAAAAATGTTATTCGTGTTGACTGATAAATATCTAGGAATGTAATATATTTTTTGGATTTTAAACTACAATAAATATATAAACATTTTTGATGTATATTTTATAATGTGTCAGTCAACACAATTAACAGGAAGCGACATTATACGTTAACACATGACACTGGATTGAACACATAAATTACGAGACGGTTTACTAAGTGTTGGATGTTTGTCTATGAGTGTCTTCACCAAATATTTGTATGCAAATCGATGTCTTACAAAGCCTTTTGCTTTCACAATGTCGCGTTATTTTAATTTTGTTACACAAGCAAATATGTGAAAAAATATTCACCTAATTGTTAAACGAAATATTTTAAATGAAACATTCCGAAGTGACTTTATATCGAGAAAGAATAACGTCCATTTCCCTGTTAAAGCCAGCTATTAGACTTATATTTTGTAGTATGGAATGCTTCGAATCTTTCTATCTGTAGATTACTATTCACATTCTTAATATTTCACCGATTGCACTATACATTGTTTTTTTTTTCTAAAATGGCTCACTTTTCCTCCAGTTTTTAGACAAGAGAAACGTTTAACGTCTTCATTGCACCTTTATTAGTGGTTGTGTAAAAGTAAACTGAGCTAAAATGTTTAATAAATAAACTGTACAAAATGAAATGCACAATTTAGTTGAAAAGCACTTCTTTGATTGTTTGTTACAATGATTACAATGTCTATGTTCTAAACATATATAAAGTGTGAATTATTTAAGATTAGTTACTTTCTATTTTACATATTCTAGTATGTATAATGTTACTATCTCGTCTATATACTAATTGGCAACAGAATTTTAGCTTTATTCCATTATCTTATAGTAATAAATATTAGATATAAAAGCTAAATGTGAAATCAATTTAACTAGATTAAAATGCTATTTGAATAATAATAGAGGATTGATACAAAAAATCAAAATGTTTAACAAATATGCATTATATACTTAGGTAAGTACATTTTAATAATCTATTTCTTTAATTTTTTTTTGATTTTTTGTATGAATTAAATTAAGTTGCCATAAATAAAAAATAATAACCGTATTCGGCTAATTAGCACATATAGCTCTTTATAAAAAAATCAATTTTAGTTGAATAGCTAATGATACGCATTTAATTGAGGAATGTAAATCGAATGCTTTTCACGATCGCTTACATTTTACATTAAGTTGTTCACTTAACAGGGAGCTGGATGCACTGCGTTATTAGTTGCGGTTGTTTCAAGGAAGTTAGAGTTAACTAGAGCTGAGAAGCACGTTCATAACTTCATGATGGATACACAACTTACTAAAAGAGTAAGTATTCCATCAGCATCGGTTCATCACAATTGTTGATCTAATTAACAGGGGGCTGGATGTACAGCATTGTTAGTGACCGTTGCCTCGAGAAAGTTAGAATTAACTAGAGCGGAGAAACACGTACATAACTTCATGATGGAAACTCAACTCACTAAAAAGGTAAGGGCCTTTTGAACGGCAGGCCGAGACAAGGTAAGGATGCCTGCGTACGGAAATAAAAACTAACCATTTTGCTTTCATTGAACGGCCCTAATTTCTAATAATAACACTGAAATAAAATTAAAATACATTTATATGCTTTGCATACGCGTTACACAAAATCAAGATAACTACAGTTTCATGTTACATTTGCGGTTCCGGTTACATCATAAAATAAAAACATAATCTAAAAAAATAGCAAATAAAAATAACTTTAGAATAGATTTTAAACAATGTACAAAAACATATACTAATTAATAATTATTATATGTAATTTAACATATGCTATTATGCGATGTGAATAACAAAATATTATTGTTACACAAAAGACGGAAGTTATATAAAAAGTTTTAAAAACATCAAATATAATATATCCATCAACGTGCTTCTAAAATTTCAGCTGAAAAACGCAGCGGCCAATGTGTTGAGGGAGACTTGGCTAATTTACAAGCATACGCGGCTCGTGAAGAGGGTCCACCCCGGCAGAGTGAGGACACACCAGAGGAAGTTTCTATTAGCCATATACGCGTAAGTTCACCGCACCGTACGGTTGGTAACCATCACTATTTTTGCCTTTGAAAAATTAAAAATACGAGATAAGAACCTTTACTAGACTCTTCGATTGGAAAAATGTAGTCTACGGAATACCGTTTCGTGTCTCGAAAATGACTTTCATTATTTGTTTTATCTTTATTCCAAAACTAGCTCTCACTCTCCACTCTATCCGCGCAGAATTAAAGACTTAGTAGCCTATGTGTTCTTCCAGACTATGTTCTAAATCTGTCAAATTTCAGCGAGATTCATGCAGCCGTTTCGGATATAACTTTTCACAAACATCTATCCATCTACACATTCAAACATTCGCTTTTCTAATATTAGTAATATTTGATATTGAAATAAAGGCTTGAATTGTATAAACAGGTTAAGAAAAGTGAAGATGGATCAGAGAAAGTTAATGGACAACGCGAACACAATAACAGACATGGCAAAGGTAAATCAATATACTTGTCTTTTTAATCTAGCTGATGCTACTATCATTTACACTTCCATTCCTATTGTAGAGGCACTTAAAGTATTGTTATGCCCAGTAGACTTAATTAATAAATTTTTACCGTAAGTTTCTGAGGCCAAAGTTTACTTTTAGAACATATCGTTATCTCTGTTTTGTCAAAGATAATAACAGTGATGAAGATATGTTTTACTCAGAGGTTTTGATCTTAGAAATCCATGTTTATAGTTATTTATTGTTGATTCCGAATGTGATCTCAACTCCAAACGACTACTATAATTTTAAAAATTCAGTTCTTTGAAGTATATTTGTGTTAGAATTTTTTAGATTTATTTTTAATATTGCTTGTAGTAAGTAATTAGTTTTTATAAAAATTATTAATAATATTGTATTATTAATCTTTGTTTCCCAATTCATGATTTTAACAGTGGTTGAGGCCGCTTTAACATCTTCGCACGAATTGGCCCGGCTCTCCCGGTGAAATACCACGACCACACAGAAGACAGGCGTCAAGTGGAAGCAATTCCGCGTTTCGTCTGATGAGTGTGTGTCCCGGACGCCTTATATAGTCCTATTTCCCTTCCCACCCTTTTTCTTATAAGGAAAGGATGGGAAGTGTAAGTGGACTTTCCGGATGAGAGGATGCATGGGAAGGGAAATAATTTTCTTTCTGTGCATCCTCTCCTCCGTCGAAGGTAGGCAACGCATATGCAATTGCGTTTGTCTATGGGCAATGGTCAATTCAGCGATTTCAGGTGGCCGCTCGCCCGTTTGCTAAGTTATATTATAAAAAAAAGATTAGGTGCATGTTACAAATAATTTTAGCAAATAACTTAAGTTATATGGGGAAACACTGATTCAATCTAATATATTTATTTAATAAACTCATTTCCATTTGCTATTCGCATGTAGTATCGCAATAACTAAAAATAATTACAGTATTATTTCTATGATAAAATACTATTTAATCTAAATTATAAATTTACAATACGTATATTATACTTTATTAAAAATAACAATTAAATAATTATGTAATACAACTTAAAGACATACATATTCAAAATTTTATATAGACATTATTTGACAAGTATAACATGAGAACAGAGAACACTATGTCAACGATTAGGACCAACAGTGAGTATTGAGCTGCAAAGCGATTGATCGTAGGACCCTTTCCTGTTGCAGACCCAGAACACGGTCTACGAAATAGTATCTGACATGAGCACACGACAGGACACCATAGAAGAGAGATTAACCAGTTTAGAAGAAAAACTCACTTCTTTACAGGTAAAAAAATAAATTAACTAAAAATTACTTGTAAACAAAAAACCTTGAGAACGAAGAAAGTAAGGATTGTGTGAAAGGGGATATGTCTACTTTGGAATGTATTGAAGAGAACTTTCTTAGCTGACCCTTCATAGAGAATAAGATGGCACCAGAAAACAACATACCTTCTACGGCGTTTTTTTTAATCATTTTTCCATCGCATGCATCCCCTCATCCGGAAAATCCACTTACACTTCCCTTCCTTTACATGTAAGAAAATGGTTGGGAACGGAAAGGGGACTAAGAATTAGGACTGTGTTAATCTTGATATGTTATTTAATAAAATACAGGAGCAAATGAATACGATACCGGACATAATGGCCCGATGCTTGCAACAACATTGGGAGAGAACCGAACAGCGTAGGAACTATCTACATCCGGACACGGCGGCTGTACCCACGCCTCCCTCGTCAACAATCACACCGTATGCCAGGTACACTATGACACTTTTAGCATTTCAATGTTCAAAACTTTGCCCCTTTGCGCTAATGTTAGGAACTGCCAATTGAGTGTAAAGATTCCTACATGTATTTATCAGCCTAATTGCTAAGAAAGGTTAATAAATATTTGATCTGATGTCAAAAATACTTTTAAAAGATGGGCAAAAGCAAAATATGTAGATAAACAAAAAAATCCGTGTACTATTTACTTTTTTCTGTATTAGGCCACTAGCATCAGCGTCGCACCCGTGGCCACCTAGTCCTGTGGGTCACCAGGCGGCGCGCGCGCACTCTGCGCCCGAGAGCACGGCCGCCCATACGCCGACAGCGCAGCTCGCGCCCACCAGCCCCGCGCCCGCGCCGCCCCGCACGCAGCTGCCTAGCTGAGTACCGCCCTCCAATTCCGAACTCCTTTGCTGAACTCGACGAAACTCGGCTCCTATCCCCTTCTTATATCATAACTATTAGTAAGTTTATCGGGAAAATTGTTTCACAATAGGTTATAATGCAAATTGTAAAGCAAGCTTAATTGACCATACTTTTTCTTATGATTAAATATTCTATTCATTTGTGCAACGACAAATTTATTATAATCAATCGTAGTAAATTGGAAGAGTGAAATGAGTTTCCCGGTTCACCGATGGAAGAAGCCAGCGTGAGACAAGGCAAGCCGTAGTTATCTTCGCTGTTCCCCAAAGTTTCGGAAGTGTCTGACTGTTTTCTAGTGGTATTGTTTAGATAGTAGACGAAGAACGAAAAGACCTAATACTGTGAGTTAACGATATGCTTTATCAAGAAACGCCTTGTCAAAACATAGATGATATTATTTTAAAGTTTAATATTAAGTATCATACTCATTTAAATATTTTAATACACAGCAATTATACATAAGTATACAGCGTTATTATTTGAACATCATTCATTATACATTGCGCTATTTATAACATACCACGTCGTTTATACTCGCTTTACTGCATTGCATAAATGAAACACCATGTATCTACGGTCTATGAAACTATGAGTTTACACTAATAAAACATGATATCTGATAATCAAGTTTATTATGTTAATATTGCGAATTTATGACACGAAACATGTTGTTACTATAAAATTTTCGTAAAATATTTTTTGCAAAATCCATTGTAAAGACTAAAGATTTGTCACAGATAAAAAACAATGTTTTTTTTTTAATATTATTATAGCATTTAGTAAAAAATTACCGACCATTATGATGTCTATTATAACTACACAAATATCGTACCAATAATCAAATTACGTCAATACACGACAGCTTTAGTAATGATAAAATATTAAATGAGTTTTATAGCCATTTATTTACTAAAGCAGTCTTAAGTGTGGACAATCAGTGAATACACTAAGGGTTATTGACCATACAATGATTCTGAGTGGTAATATATACTTAAAAACAACACCACAATACACTTTATAATAATATTTATGATCACCTGTCTGTCACCGAGAAATTGTAACCACCGTTAGTAATCTTTTAAATATCAAATAAACTATAATAAATTATAAAATCAGAAATGTATTTCTTTATGTATTGTTAGCTTAATTCAATTATGTGCAATAAAAAGACTTAATTTTTTAAATAAATTAAGTTTAATTTGTCGTAATATAGCAAATTCTGTTTACATTTTGATAATTTGACGATGAAAAATATATGAAAATTTGTAAAATAAAAAATCTAATAGTGACATGATTAAACCATGTTTACAATTTTACGGTGACATTTGTATTTATAGAAGTAATAGTACGATCAAATTGTTACCTGCCCGTTAAAATGTAGTTTGTAATGTAAATTAAGAAAGCTTTGTATAGATGTAAGGATTGATGGCTGTCTAAATAGTGCCTAAAACACTACGAAAATTTCGAATATTCTGATTTATTACTATTAACTTGTGTATATGTAATTAGGTAAAAGTAATATTTGCGATTTTAATATTTAATATCTAAATTTAAGACTTAATATGCATGAGTACGGGAGAGGGGATCAATATTTTTATTTTTAATATTTTTTGTGAAAGATAAAATATTTAACATCTATTCGTTACAACACACTAAGCAAATTGATATCTGGCCCCGTGACAGACAGTCAGTCTTGTCCCAAATATATAAAACCTACTTGACCCCAACAAATAGAGCACATTAAAAAAAACATTCAAATATTATGAATTTATATTTTTGTCCTGTAATAGCTTTACTTGCTATATAGATTTTGTCTAGCAGTTGAAATGGGTGTTTCCCGTTGGACCGCTCGATTGGTGTTCCAATCGATCGTTCCAAAGGTCAAACGTCGAAATAATCTTATTGTGTTGTAGCGACTATAATTCGAACCAAACATGGGTGACTTTATTACCACTGAAATAAAAGTCTGTTTAAAATAAAATATCTTTAAATTAAGGTAATTTTGGCTCTTGTTATCAAATCATAATATTTTACTTATCAGTGTACCCATGTCTTCAATGAATTAAAATAAAACAAGCATATTAAGTGCAGATTTATCAATTTAAGTTTCATTTAGCTTAGGTTACTCTGTAGTAGTATAAAACGCTTGCCGCCCATGATAAGAGTAGATTCTTTATTTACACTTATTATATTTCCTTCATCCTTTTATTATATACTACATGAATCAGGCATTCGTTGCAGTGCCAAAGCCAAAACGATGTCAAAAGTCTATATAGATCGATAAACTTAACTGACCCGGTGACAATGGCACCCCTATCGCGATTAGTTGTGTCAGAAATCAAATAAAACTAAAATTTAAAATGTAAAATTTACCAAATATAAGATTTAAGAAAAAAACCAAGACCAAGAGACATAAGAACCTCCTCCTTATTGTTATGGGTAAAAAGAGTCTTGAAACATTTATTAACAATTATATGGTTGGTGCTAATGAGTTATTGAACCGGGTCATATGAATTATTCGCACTACACGAACTAACACTGTCACGACTACATTCATACGCCAAACTAAGCTATTATAACAATAAGTTACCGTGGGTTTCGGAAAGCAAAATTTCTCTATAAAACATAAAATCATCCCTGTTATTATCTTTGACTAAACAAAGAAAACAACATACTAAAAAAGAGATTCTTGCCTCAGAAACCAACGATTAATGGGGTACATGATTTAAACGGTAATTAGTACTAGTACTTGATATCATGACAACTTCTAAAATAAACAATTTTTCAGTTTTTTTTTATTTTTTATTATGATGTACTTTTATACATTTAATAAATGTGATAAGGATAGCACAGTTATTAATACACTGATTGGAAATGATAGCTAGACTTTTTAATTAAAATTTGATATAGTGTGTATAAATGCAAATGATTTGAGTTTTTATAATTTTATTTGTCATAATTAGCCTATTTGTAACACCAATTAGAGTAATGTGTAGAACTGTAATATAAATTAGGAATTATAGAATAACAAACTGATTTTATAGTTACATGTTTGTTGAGAAACCGCAGTGTTTTGTTTATGTCTGATTTATATTGCGTTCTTTAAGAGCAGCTTTATTCAATGATAGTTTTGTAATAACACCATTTTTCGTTGGTATGTGTAGTATATGAATAAATGTAATGTTGTTTGTCTCGAGCGTATACGTTATAAGTACATGCCGGAGAGAGGGGGGTCAGTCGATGTCAGACCTTTGGACCGGCAGCAAATGTCGCTACGTGAACGAGCCATATATAATGCAAAGTGTGCTACAGTATGTTTTTTTTAATATCCTATTGTTAACTTTCTTGCTACTACTGGAGTATTGTTTTCATAATTTATTTTAGGTATATTGATTGTTTTTTTGTTGTATTAAAATATTAAATTTATAAAAGATTTTATTATATCTGTATTATTAAAGAGTGTAACTTTTCATTGTGATAGTCAACCACTAGTCTTTATGTTTAAAATAAAATTATTTTATTGTTAAATTACTAATAGAGTTTTTATGATCAATGATGAATTTGAATGTAGCTAACACTTTAATGTATGTTAAGTTCAAAGAAAATGACAAAAATACATAACTACAGCTTATTTATTGAAAATGATATAAAAAGTAGATAAAGTATAGTATTAAATTATATTAAGATTTGACCAAATGTAGATAAGGTAATAGTTTACATATAATTTATACATCTATATGTATTTGTACATATATAAAAGTTTTGTAATCGATAGACATATGTAAAAATAATGTAGAGACATGATATTTGCAACTTTAGCTGGTAAATATAGTTATTAATAGTATGGTTCCGTAAATATATTATTTTTAAATATTGTTACAAAAATGTAAGATAGTTTAAATGGAATGCGATAGTTAATGAGGTGCGTGAATTGGCATATTGGAACTTTTGTGATCATTGTTAATCAAATGAAAGTGTAACTTTGATTATATGAGCCGTAGTATTTTCTAATATGTCTTTTCATTTGTTCACAAAACCTTCCTATAAAGTCTTAAAAACTTTCATCATCATCAGCTCACTGTACGTCCCCACCGAGGGGCTTTGAGCCTACCCAAGTTAGGGGGTGACTAGGCCATAGTCAACCACGCTGGCCAAGTGCGGCTTGGTTGACTACACACATATCTTTGAATTTCTTCTCAGATATGTGCAAGTTGCATCACGATGTTTTCCTTTACCATAAGAACGTCGGATAAATGTACATATGTAAATCGGAAATGGAAAAACACGTTGGTAAACGGCGGGACTCGAACCCAGGATCTGCAGATTGCAACTCAAGGGCTTGACGCTTAAAAACTTTACAACTAAAGAAATGAATTCCTCGATACTCTTTATTTGATGTTGCGTTTACAACTATTAAGATATTGTAAAGCAATATTTCCATAAATATTAGTCACTAGCTGTCGCCTGCGAATCCGTCCGCGTAAAAAATCTTAATTAGTAGTGTATGTATTCGTCCAGACTATGCTCTACATCTGTGGCATTTTTCATCGAGATCTGCTATATTAGCAAGATTTCTTTATTGTAAAATAAGGTCAGGTAAGTGATGAGAAAAGGCTAAAAATAAAACACTAAGTTATAGGATTCTATCATGAGAACTTATTTAACAGGAAACAAGGCAATCATAAATTATTTACCTCTATATATAATAATAGTATATTTTAGTTCATGATCTCTCTCTCAAGGTGCCTCCCCATTTAATGGAGGTTGGCCATCAGCACAGTAAACTTTTGCTGGTCATGTAGCCAGCGTAAGCATAGTTTCTGATAATGACCATTAAAGTTGTAAGCTTGCTTTTTCTTTATAAATGTACATTTAATAGCGTTCGTCGAATATAGAATTTCTTTATAAAAAGAGTTTAAGAATCATGAATAGCAATACATTTTTAAGTTCTTTAATCGTTTATAAGCAGTTGGTTTAAGCTTTATCGTAACATCTGGTTATTCCCAGATAATTTTTTTACAGCCACTAATTATAATAGACAAAGGTCATTCGGTAACTTTGCTTTGAATTATTCTTGAAGACTAACTTGCATTTAAAACTAACGTAATACTTAATAAGATATTGCAAAAAATCAAGTTATAGGGATATCTTACTAATATTATAAATGTGAATGGTTAGATGGATGGATGTTTGTTTGAAGGTAACTCCGGAACGGCTCAATGGATCTTAATTAAATTTGCTACGGAGGTACAACATATCCACTTGCACACATAGGCTACTTATTGAGTTTTTTTTTTAATTCTGCGCGGACAGAATCGCGGGCGACAACTAATAAAGATATTAATTGAATGATTATAATGCATTTAACATTTTTAATTTAGTCGACCGAGTTAGGCGTATTGTCGTAAGAAAAGCAAGACATTTTTATACTTCTACCAAAAGTGAATTGTCGGAAGTGTAACATGGCGTCGTCTTTAGACCTAAGTTATATGAAATTAGTCCGATTTACTTTTAGTCTCATAGATTGTTGGCCTCATCGTGATATGAAAAGCAAAAAACCAATTCCTTTGGCAAATAATAAATTTTTATTTTGCGTTCTATTTTTTGTGTGTGTTGCAGAGTTGATTTATATAAAAAACAATGTTGGAGTTTTGAGATTTTTGATTTTGGGACACACTTATATTACGTTTCTTCTTACGTTCAATAGTTTGGTAAGGAATTATTATTTTATTAGGTAT